CCCCTTCTCTCTTCTCCCTCTTCTCTATTCTTTCTCCTCTCTCTCTTCTCTCTCTCCCCCTTCTTTCTCTCTCTCTCTCTCTCTCCCCTTCTCTCTTCTCCCTCTTTCTCTCTCTTTCTCTCTCTCTATTTTTGTCTCCCCCAGCACTGCACTTTGGAGCTGGGCAGCTACATCAAAGACCTTTCGGTGGTCCATAATGACCTGTCCAGCATTGTCATCTTGGACAATTCCCCAGGAGCCTACAGGAGCCATCCAGGCAAGACCTTGGGGTGGTTTTTAAGGTTTTTCTTTTCGTTTTTGTGGGGTCCTCGGGGGGGTGTGTGTCTCTGAGCTGGGCGGTTTCCTTGCAGACGTTTCATGGCCCAACTAGGGAACATCATCAGTGCTAGAAGGGAGGAGGAGGAGGAGGAGGAGAAACAAGCTCTTTATGCTTGTTTGTTTCTTGCAGAGGTTTCATGGCCCAACTAGGGAACATCATCAGTGCTAGAAGGGAGGAGGAGGAGGAGGAGGAGAAACAAGCTCTTTATGCTTGTTTGTTTCTTGCAGAGGTTTCATGACCCAACTAGGGAACGTCATCAGTGCTAGAAGGGAGGAGGAAGAGGAGGACTGTGGGGTCCTTGGTGCTCTCTGAGCTGGGTGGTTTTCTTGCAGATGTTTCATGACCCATCTTGGTAACATCATCAGTGCTAGAAATGAGGAGGAAGAAGAAGAAGACTATGGGGTCCTGGGTGCTCTCTGAGCTGGGTGGATTCCTTGCAGACGTTTCATGACCCAGCTAGAGAACATCATCAATGCTAGAATCGGGAGGAGGAGGAGGAGGAGGAGGAGGAGGAGGAGGAGGAAGAAAAGGGCTGGAGGGTCCATGGTGGTCTTTAAGCTTGGTGAATTCGTTGTAGACGTTTCACGACCCAACTAGAGAACATCATCAGTGCTAGAAGGGGTGGTGTTTGCAGAGAGTCAGAGTAAGGAGGAAGAGGATTAGCACTGTGGGGTCCACGGTGCTCTCAAAGCTGGGTGGTTTCCTTGCAGACGTTTCATGACCCATCTAGGTAACATCATCATCGCTAGAAGGGAGTGGAGATTGTGGAGAGGAAGAGGGAGGGGAGGGGGGGGAAAGGACTGTGGGGTCCTCGGTGCTCTCTGAGCTGGGTGAATTCATTGTAGACGTTTCACGACCCAACTGGGGAACCTCATCAGTGCTGGGAGGGAGGGGGGTGTGCAGAGAGGAGGAGGAGGAGGAGAGAGCGGAAGAGGATTCGCCCTTCCTTGTGTGGGAGAACTGATCTGCAAGTCACTTCCTGTTGCTCCGTTTATGAGAAATAAGTTCTCCCTGGGCCCTTTTTTTTTTTTTTTGGGCCTTGGCCAGCGTGAACTTGCAAGATTTGGGGGAAATGAGAAGCTGAGTTTAAAAAAACGGAAGCGACCCGGTGCTCTCGGTTCCCAACTACCGTCGTAGCCGAAGTCGCCCTGGATTCGAATGACTTTACGCTTAGGGAAGAGGCCGGGCGAAGCACACGGTGGGGAAATGGAGAAGACCTCCACGATTGCCAAGAAGGGATGATTGGGTTAGAGCCTGGCGGCTTTGGAGCTTGTGTCCAAGACGGGGAACGGGGAGACACGGTTGAGGTGTTAAGAGTTTGATATAGAAGTTAAGGCATCGGGTTAGGAATCGGGAGACGGTGAGTTCTAGTCCTGCTTTAGATGTGAAAGCCAGCCGGGTGACTTTGGACCAGTCACCAGGAGACGGTGAGTGCTAGTCCCGCCTTAGGAATGAAAGCTGGCTGGATGACTCACCAGGAGACGGAGAGTTCTAGTCCCACCCTAGGCCTGAAAGCTGACAGGTGACTTTGGGCCAATCACCAGGAGAGGGAGAGTTCTGGTCCTGCCTTAGATATGAAAGCCAGCCAAGTGACTTTGGACCAGTCACCAGGAGACGGAGAGTTCTAGTCCCGCCTTAGGCATAAAAGCCATCTGGGTGACTTTGGGCCAATCACCAGGAGACGGAGAATTCTAGTCCCACCCTAGGTCTGAACTGCAACTGGGTGACTTTGGGCCAATCACCAGGAGACAGAGAGTTCTAGTCCCACCTTAGGCCTGAAAGCTGATGGGTGACTTTGGGCCAATCACAGGAGACGGAGAGTTCTAGTCCCACCCTAGCCCTGATAGCTGATGGGTGACTTCGGGTAAATCACCAGGCGACAGTGAGTTCTGGTCCTGCCTTAGATATGAAAACCGGCTGGGTGACTTTGGGCCAGTCGCTAGGAGACGGAGAGTTCTAGTCTTGCCTGAGGCCTGAAACCCAACTGGGTGACTTTGGGCCAGTGACCAGGAGACAGTGAGTTCTAGTCCCACACTGGGCCTGAAAGCTGACAGGTGACTTTGGACCAATCACCAGGAGACGGAGAGTTCTAGTCCCACCCTAGCCTTGATAGCTGACGGGTGACTTTGGGCCAATCACCAGGCGACAGTGAGTTCTAGTGTTGCCTTAGGCATGAAAACCGGCTGGGTGACTTTGGGCCAGTCACTAGGAGATGGAGAGTTCTAGTGTTGCCTTAGGCATGAAACCCAACTGGGTGACTTTGAGCCAATTACCAAGAGACAGAGAGTTCTAGTTCACCTTATCCATGAAAACGGACTGGGTGACTTTCGGCCAGACTTTTTCAGTCCAGCCCTACCTCACAAAGTTATTATTGAGATGGGGGGGGGGAAGGAAAAAAGGAGAATTAGATATGTTTTCCAGCTTGAGTTGTTCAGAAAACTAATCATAAAAGCAGGATAGAAATAAAAATAAAGCAGGCGCCGTAGGGAAAATATGGGTGGAGACTTGATCGTCTGTGGGGAAGGTGGCCATAAGTAATTGGTTTTTTTGGTGGGGGGAAGGAACATGGTCTCCTTGGTCCCAGGGAGGGGACCTTAAACATTGATGCTAGAGCAGGAGGTCTGCAAACGTGGCCCCTTGAAGACGGGTGGACTTCAACTCCCAGAATTCCTCAGCCAGCATATTCCCTGCTTACTCTCTTATAATCCCTTCCTCTCCAATCTCTCTGCTTTAAGGGTTAGGTGGAAAAAAAGAAACCAGGCAGGGCCGGCTGGGGGATTCTGGGAGTTGAAGTCCACAAGTCTTAAAGTGGCCGAGGTTGAGGACCCCTGCCCTAAGATCCTCCTACAATGGGCTAAGTCCACGGGCACGCCAGACTCGCTTAGCAACCGTGGACTTCCTCTTCCGGCCGGCCTCGGGCTGCCTGCTTCCCACGGTCCGCTGGGTTGGATGAACGAGGCGCCTTTGCTTTTCTCTCCGGCAGATAACGCCATCCCCATCAAGTCGTGGTTCAGCGACCCCGGCGACACGGCGCTCCTCAACCTCCTCCCCATGCTTGATGCCTTGAGGTAAAGCCCGGGGCGAGGGAGGGGGGGGGTCTCAGCCTGGGAGGAGAGGGTGGGCTCCTAAACCGGACCTTTGCAGCCGGTCCTGGAGCTGGCTTGCGGATGTGTTTGGTCTGCTGGTTAAGGCACCTGGCTAGAAAACCAGGAGAGGGGTGAGTTCTAGTCCCGCTTTATCCACGAAAGCCGGCTGGGTGACTTTGGGCCAATCCCCAGGAGACGGTGAGTTCTAGTCCCGCCCTGGGCATGAAAAGCCGACGAGTGACTTTAGGCCCATCACCAGGCGACAGTGAGTTCTAGTCCTGCCTTAGCTATGAAAACCGGCTGGATGAATCTGAGCCAATCACTAGGCACCAGTGAGTTCTAGTCCCGCCTTAGGCATAAAAGCCGGCTGGATGAATCTGAGCCAATCACTAGGCACCAGTGAGTTCTAGTCCCGCCTTAGACATAAAAGCCGGCTGGATGAATCTGAGCCAATCACTAGGCACCAGTGAGTTCTAGTCCCGCCTTAGACATAAAAGCCGGCTGGATGAATCTGAGCCAATCACTAGGCACCAGTGAGTTCTAGTCCCGCCTTAGACATAAAAGCCACCTAGATGAATCTGAGCCAATCACTAGGCACCAGTGAGTTCTAGTTCCGCCTCAGGCATATAAAAGCTGACAGGTGACTTTGGGCCAATCACCAGGAGACGGAGAGTTCTAGTCCCGCCTTAGCCACAAAAGCCATGTGGGTGACTTTGGGCCAATCACCAGGAGACGGTGAGTTCTAGTCCCACCCGCCTGAGGCTGGGGGATTGAGCCAATCCGTCTCTCTCTCTCTCAGCCCCGCCCACCTCACAGGGTTATCGTGGTGGGTCCAAATGCGAGGAGGTGCTGGATCTGTCCACCCCGTCGAATGGTTTGTAAAATTCGAAAGAGGGGCTGCAGACCAAGATGGCGACGGGGCGATGGCCGAAGTGACCCCTGCTTTTCTCTCCTCTCCCCCCCCCTCCAGGTTCACAGCGGACGTCCGGTCGGTGCTCAGCCGCAATCTCCACCAACACCGCCTGTGGTGACGGCGGCCCCTCCTTTCTTCAGGGTTTGGCGACGACCTCTGCCTTAGCCCGCTATCGTGACTCCCCCCCGTCCTCGCCAGGCGCCGCGGCTGACAAAACGCCTTCAGACTCAGCCGGCCAGCCGGCCGGGGACCTCGCCCCGGGGGACTCCGTTTCGGCCTCGCCCCGTGGCCGTCAGCCGCCCTCTCCCTTACGGCGGCACCCTGTGGACTGGCAGTGACCCAGCCGGGCAGAGGCGGGGAGAGGGCCGCGCCGCGTGGCACGACACCGGCGGCCCCGTTGGGGGGGGGGAAGAACCCAGATGCACAAGAAAGGGGGTGAACCGCACCAGCGACACGACGACAAGACTTTTTTTTTTTCCGAGAGGAGGCTGCGTTTCTCAGTGGGAAGAGCA